TGCTCCCTCTGATTGTTTACTTTTCTTCAGCTTGTTTGACAGGTGAGAAAATATACGACTGTCTACTTTTAGTTGAACTTAAATTTCTAAATTTGTTTGCCAATGAAAATAATTTTAGTATTCTGCTTATTCTTTTGCTACGAAACGATGCTTCAGGGAAGGCGCAACTTACATCTGTTCTGTTATTGATACTGGGAGCACTTGCTAAAAAAACTATGTCCGAACGAATTCTGTCATTCTTCATCTTGATGGGTCTAGTGTTCTTACTAGAGATCCAGGTCGTGGAAGGAAGGGGTTTGAAGGCTGTTTCAGATGTTAAAGCGTCTCCACCACTGACCTCATCCAAGGGGATGTTCTCTGCCGAAAAGAAAGTAGGCCCGATTGCCAATCCTCCACCATCGGCGGCCCGTGCACCTCACTACTAGTATTTCTAACCCTGCTAGGCTAAGTGGTTGGCGTGTTTTAGGGATCTTGGATCCTGGGTATCAATGTGTGGAGTTTTTAAACAAAGGATTGCATACTATGTTGTGTTCTCAATGTGTGGAGTTTTTAAACAAAGAATTGCATGCTGGTTTAAAGGATTGCATACTATGTTGTGTTCTCTATGTGTGGAGATTTTAAGCAAAGAATTGCATAACATGTTGTGTTCTTCAATTATGACGAGGTATAATTGCACGTGCTCTTATTCAAAATTTTAGAAGCATTATGTTGGTGTGGAAGGCTAGATGAGTTTTCATGTTGTAAATTTTACTGATTGCTTAGATTATGTATTGACATTAAATAATACGAAATACTCATTATTACTTATAATAAATTCCAAGCCACCACTATGAGACTTAAACCATCTCATTAGCATAGCCCGTACTCGGACACCTTGTTTGGACACTGGGAGACTCTCCCCTATATATTTATTTATCGATTTTTTTAACAAGTACAAATTTCAAGGAGAGGAAATTTGAATTAATATTATACGGCTGAAAGTGTGGTGGAAGTGTATCTTGTACCTTCAAAGCTTGCTATTAGTAATCAGCACACAAGCCCATGTGTGCCGCATGTTTATTTAGGGAGTAAACGCTATGATGAGAACCCCAAAGAGAACAATGATACCTACAGTACAACAAGGGATTTCTAAACTTCAAGAAAGCTAAATTAGATTTATAATAGGACCTTAATCCGTTGTCTATGACGTAACAAGAACCAGAGGTATAAAGTTGGTTGACGCCACACTCTCAAAAGAACGAGAATGATAAGTCAAGTTAAAATGCTACAAGAATAATCTTAATAAGTTCTGTAAAGTTCTGAAACGAACCAAAAAGAAAAGTTTTTCAAAATCTCAAATTTAATAGCCTCCCCAATTAGTGTTACAAGCCTTTTAAATAGGGAAAAGTAATTCTAATCAGAATAGGAAACTAACACCATAAGCCATAATCCTAATAACCACGAATTGGGCCTCAAATAAATGAATGTTCAGCCCAAAATAATATAGAAAACGTGGAAATCACTGAAAGTAACTTAAAGTAACATGAAATATTAGTTTGTTACAAAACAGAATTGCGGGATTTTGACGCAAACTGTGTAATTTAGCATAAACGACCTTAATTAAGCTTCTCTTGAATCTGAATGATGTTTACTATGCCTTGATAATCATCCAAGTTTTGATTTACTTGTTGTATGTTGTTATCAATCCAAATCTGCTCAATAAAGCCATTTAAAACTTCTCGCATCTTCCTAACTCTAGCTCTCATGACTGAACTTCTTGAAATGTGTAATGAATCTTTTGACGTGGTACATGTGGGGTGATCTTGATTTCCATCACACTAACTAAAGCAAATACAGTAGACAGGGAAGTTACGCTCAAGTCCAACTATCCCTTTCTTATTTCCTCTCCATTTTGACCAATCCGATATGGTGAATTACAGAAATCCAAACACTTTATTTTTTGCTTAAGGAACTAATATGAGTCGAAATGTGGACAAGGCTTAGGAAACAAAATGAGCAAATTAGACAACAACAAATCCAGAATAATTAAATCAGAACAATAAACTCAAATCTTAATTTTTTTGCTCATCAATTCTCTATAGCACAAAAAAAAGAAAAAATCCCTAATAACAATCATTTAACAGAATAAAAAAAAAAAGGCAATCCACAACAATCATAGAAGCTTTTGCAAATCAAAGGACGGGATACACACTACAAAGTACATTCAGCTTATATTCAATGAAATAGTAGAAAGCTAAGCTCGTAAGAAAATCATCCAAAGAATATCCCAAAATTCGATTTTAAACCCATTTTTCAAAGGATCACATGAATAACAATGAATTTAGGCTATATTTACCTTAAATAGATCAAGTCAGGACCGTGAGTGTTTGTTCTTTACGTCCTTTTTATTTCTTCTTTCTTTGCTCCTAACCAAAGGATTATCTTCCAATATTTCTCTTGTGCTTTCCCTTTGGATATCCTATTGAAGTGGCCAAGGCAGAAAGAGGGCTTCCATGATTTCTCTAAGTTTGAGTGTTCCGAGGGGGGAATGGATGTCTCCAGCGGTGAAAAATTCCGAAAGAATCAGGATATCCAAAGGGACTGCGGTTGTCAAAATGGCCCCCTTCCCTCCTGTCCTTTCAACTCCTGTCCTTTGTTTCTTCTCCATCTCCTCCTTTCTCAAGATTTTAGGGTCGGGAGACGATTCATGAGGGCATTGATGGCGCCGGAGCCCTTACTAAAGGATATGAGCCGGATGGGGGAATTTTAAAATTTGTTGTAAGTCATTTATCAATTTATGTAATATAATTTATGAAAATGATATAATTAAAATGAAAATGTTATAATTATAATATTATATGATATTATAAATTTATAATATGATATATTATTATATAATTGAATTTTTTTCATTTAGGGATTCACTTGTAATTTTGTATACATTTATTTATTTGATAACACATCATGATTTTAAATTTATAATCTTACATGGCATTACTATTATAACATTGTCATATAATTTATATTAAATTTTAAATCTGTCACTAATTTTATACATGTACCAATTATATCATCCATGTTGAATTTTTAATTAAATATATATTTAATTATTTTTAAATAGTATATATAATTTGAGACCTTTAATAAGTAATATAAAAATATCTTTTTTTTTTTTAAGTTACATCTATCAAATCAGTTTTAATTTTTGAAATATATAATCCACGTGAATGTATAAAATAAATTTAACCGTTGGTTTAATGGAATATAAATTAAACACAAAAATTATATACAACATGTAAAATTTTATACAAGTTGCATCAACATAACTATATCTTGATTATATGTACCATATTTGACATTTTTCAAAAGTTTAGGGGGCAGTTGCCCCCTGGCTCCATGGAAATGAGGATGGTCATGCAAGGCTTAACTCCCTTAGAAGCCCTCAAATTATTTGTCTTTTAAATTATTAGTTTCTCAACATACATTTTGTGTATTTTGCCCATACATTTTACATTATTGCTGTGACTAACCTAAAATATACAAAACCTAATCACGTGAGTCATATAGCCATCACCACTCTATTACCCTATTCTTGTAAGTGCCATGCTAGCATAATTAATCCACTTGACCCATGAAGGTAGGAAAAATTCTGCCCAAGATAAGATCCATGTGTACTTTGAGTGAGATTTTTCAGCTTATATAAATCCAAGTGGATCATATTTATGTTAGCAAGGCACTAACAAGGACATATAGGGTAACAGAGCAATGATGATTGTGTGACTCAAGTGCCTATTTCAGGCTAATTATAGTGATACATACATAGGTTAAAATACACAAAATGTATGTTTAGAGGAAAATAGTCCCCAAGACAAACAAAAATATAGTGCTAGATGAGAGGGAGCATACGAGGGTAGTCATAGTCAAATATGCCAAAGGAGGAGGGGTAAAGCATTAATTAGAGTTTTCAAAACTAAAATACCTTCAAAGCAAATAAAAATACCTTCAAAACAAACAAAAATTGTAACACTACCATTGTTCAAAACTATTTTCGAGAGAGACAAACATGGGTAGAGAGAGACAAAGGAAGGTATGAACAGTATACTACCTTTTTATTATTCTTAAGATTCTAAACCAAAACCACGATCCAAGGCTGATGGCTCCTTGTAATACTAGATTCTTCAATAGCTTACGGAGGTTTTTCTCTTATCCTTATTAACTAGTCCATCAATCTTAAAATAATTATTATTCTTTTATTTTAAATTTATTTGAAATTAATCATCATTTTTTCATTTTTTAAGATATATACGTTAATTGATAATTCAATCAAAATAGCTCTATCTTTTTATCTTTTATTTCTATTAAGATGTATTAAAAGTAAACACATAAATTATTCTTCAAGTCCTTAATTTGAAGGAGAGGGGGTATGTTTGATGAAAATTTTGGAACCTCACAACAGCTTTGTCTTCCAAGGGTATTTCTAAGGAAACCCTTGTTTTCTACCTTTATCATTTGATATCTTACACAATTAAAAGGTACATCAGAGAACTTTGGATGTTATCAATATTTGAAACATTCTCTTCTATGATTGAATTCTCTCTTGATCGAATATATTCCTTTTACTCGTCTTTTCTTGATTTCATTGATTGCTGAATGATATTAATTAGTTAATTCACGCTTCAAATAAAAAGGAAAAATTAGTGTCAAGAAAATAATCTATGGAGTATTGGCCGATTCCTTGCTTCCGTTGGTGCCAACATTTGGCAAGAGAAAATTGGCACCAATGTTAACCAGATATAAAGAATACTATTAACTAGTGTTTTAAGAACCGTACTGATCCTATTAGTTGAACCGGTTAAACTGTATCTGATTATGTAAATGGTTCGATTTGTGATCTAAACTCGTTTAATTAATTGGCCCAAAACGGACCGGTGAGAACAATGACTAGTTAACTGGTTGGGTCCTTACAATTTTAAAAATAAAAATTTAGTCCTTTAACGTATATATAATTTATTTTTAAATCTTTCAAACTAAAATTTTTTTAATTTATATTATTACTAATGTCTATTTTAAGTTAATTATATAATTCATATATTTAAGCAAATTAAGATATAGAAATTTCATGATGCAAAATCTTGTAATCTTAGCCTTCATTTAGTGTGATTGTAATTTTAAGTCTTTGATTTGATTTTTAAAATTTAAACAATCAAAATTAACAATTAACAATTAAAAATCAGAATTAAAAATTAAAATTACCAACTTATTAGGTATAAAATTTTAAAACAAACACCCAAAACTTTAAACTTAATTAATTTAGTAAACTACTTAATTTTATTCTAGAGTTTCTACATTTTTGAAAACCAAAACCAAGAATTCAAAATCATAAACATATTAAATGGAGCTTTGGTTCTCATTCTATAATCGAGAATGCTATAGTTACAAACTCACAATGCCATGTGATATTATAAGTCTACAAAACTATGCAATTAACTTTTTTATTTGGAGGTCCAACTGTGATATTGTATGTATTCATACATTTAAATCATGTTATATTTATTTAATGTTACATTATAATTGTAAGTTTATAAAATTATTTGGTATAATAGTTTAAAATTAACGGTTGGAGGTTTTATCTAATTCAATAAATAAAAGTGTTTGGATTATTAATAATAATTATTATTAATCACCTAAATAAATGAAACTGTTAATTTTAAACCGCTATACTAAATAACCTCTACTATTATACATGACATTATAATTATAACATTATATCATCCTATAATTTACAACATATTCCCTAACCAATCTAAATAGAATTGGAATTAAATTTTGATTGAAAAAAGGTTTTGAAACAAAATGAAAAATGAATTTCTTTTAAAACATTTTAATTGTTTATGATAGAGGAATTGCTCTAAGATTTAGTACATATTTTATTATAAATAGATTCCTTCACTCATTTTTAACGCTCAGATTGTTTAAATAAATGTATTTTTGGCCCCCTAAAACAAAGTTATGGCTAGGCCACTGCGGCACGCGTGGAGGATGTAGCAATTGATGACACGGATTCCCCAGAAATCCATCTTTTGAACATGGCAAAGCATTCCCGAGGTTCCTAGCTTTGCAGACACTGAAACGAAGGCATTTCAGCGAAATTGATAATGTATTTTCCGGCTGCCTGCCTTTTTGCTAGCTTTGCCGACACTGAAACGAAGACGTTTCAATGTGAAATTTGATAATGTATTTTCTGGTTGCCCGCCTCTAATAAAAATTTTAAATTTAATTAAGTAGCACTTGGACTTGGATTCAGTGACATCAAGTCACATTTAAGTGCATTTTTTTTTTCTGACAACGATTTGAATTTGACTTATTGTAAAATTGTTCAAAAAAAAATAAGTAAAAGGTTAAATACATAATTTAATAAAAAAAAATTCTCTCCCTACAACCAAAATCAAAAAAATAAAAATAAAATAAATAAAATAAAAACCTTACCTACATCTCAAATATGGGACCCCGTAGGTATTTTACCACGTCAACGTGCTTTCGCCATGACTGAAATTACCTAGCAGCCGCGACCACTAATGTAGAAAAATACAAAAAAAAAAAAAATTGTTTTTTAATAGTTAGGACTCACAATACAAAATTGTATTCACATAAAATTTTAATAATTTTTTTTATAGATAATTAAATTTTATTATTTTTTAAGTAAAAAATCACATTTAAAAAATAAAATAAAAAAAATAATTCTCAATAAGTTACGGTGTAATAAAGAGATAAAAAATCTATATTTTGTGAGAATAATATATGTAGCTTATCTATGCAAATATTTCTAACTCTTTTTTTAAATACAAAATAAAAATTATAAGTAGTAATATACAAATAATTTTATCTTATTTTTTAATATAATTTTTACATATTATAAAATGAGTTGATATATTTAATATTATAAATTTTAAATAAATAAAAAAATTTAATCGTTTAAATAATAGGTATAAATGTATAAAAAATAATAATAATAACTATTTTTAAATTTTTTTTTTAAATTATTTTTTTTTTTCGAGCGCCAACGCGCTTCGCCGCCAAAAAAGACGGAGCAAGAGAGAAGAGACCGTTATTTGGCTCTCCCACGTAAATGCAAAGAAGCTCGGGTCACTCCAATTCCATAGCCATTGTATTCTCTTTCTTATGCAAACCTCAAACTACGCAACATTCTTCCTTCAACTAAAGGCTGTTAACCGTTATTTGGCTCTCCCGCGTAAATGCAAAAAATCTCGGATCAGTCCAATTCCAGCCATTGTATTCTCTTTCTTATGCAAATCTCTGAAACTACGCAGCATTCTTCCTTCAACTAAAGGCTGCTAACCTGCCTTCGCTTCGGCTTCCTTAGTGCCTTCGCTTAAGCTTCCTTATAGTGCCTTCGCTTTGGCTTCCTTAGTGCCTTCGCTTCCGCTTCCTGCCTTCGCTTCAGCTCCCTTCACAGAAACTGAAACGAAGACATTTCAAAGTGAAATTGATAAAGTCTTTTCTGGGTGCCTGCCTTCTTCTTTTCTATGTAATTTGAATTTGAATGAACGCGGTAAAAGCTGCACGTACTTTAATTTTTTTTATATATAGTCAAGAATTGAAAGCGAGTCGATTGTGAAAAGAGAGGAAGGAGATCATATGAAGGTGATGGAGAGCTACTTGAATGAGAACTTTGGGGGAGTCAAGGCCAAGCATTCCTCGCATGAGGTTTTGCAAAAGTGGAGGGAGGTTTGCAGCGTTGTCAAGAACCCCAAGCGGAGGTTCCCATTTACTGCCAATCTCTCCAAGCGTTACGAGGCCGATGCCATGCGCAAAACCAATCAGGTTTTTTAATATTTTAAACAAAATGACCTGTGTTACGTTATTAAACAAAAATTTTAATGTCAAATTTTGATCTCATTTATTATTTTTTTACTATTTATTTTGCATTTAAAAACAGCAATTTGAGATTGGATGGATGGGTTTTTTTTTTTTTTTTTGGTCTTTTCCACACCCTATAGCAATTTTTTAAAGTGCATTATATCTTGGAAACGAAAAAAACCAATCTCTTAAGGCAGAAGGTGCAATTCAGCCCCTGTACTTTCAATGTTATAACAATTCAGCTCCTAAACTTTAAACCATTGTAAATCAGCCCCTTTACTTCACGAAATTCACATGACAGCCCTTTTAGTTAAACTGACGTCATTCAAACATTAAACCCTTCAATTGGCCGATAAAGTCTGATGAGGTGGTGCTGATTGGGCGCTAACACTTTTCTTCGGATACTCTTCATGTGATTGACACATGTTTGATAGAAATTTAATGTGATTAGTCATAATTTTAAAATTTATAAACTTTAACTTTAATGTCAATCATTAATCACCAATCACATTAAATTTATGTCTTACGATGGCCTAATCACATGGAGGGTTTTCAAAAGAGAGTGATGGAGTATTCCTGGCACTCCTCAAAGTTTTATGGTTATGTCTAGGCGAAATTTAGGGAATGAAAAATTATGTTTGGGCAGGAAATTCAACAAGGCTCTTTCTTAAAGTGCTAGATATTGCATATATTTTTCATACAGATGTGTAAACTTGCAATGACTGATGGAATATGCATAACCAACTCTGTCTGGAGCATTTAAGTTTTTACTTTTTACATGATAGCGTAGGCGTAGGTTCCAAATAAGTTGTTCTGCATATTAACCAATCATTATGTATGATGAGAAAAATTCCCAGATTCAACTAATCTCATTGACTTATTCTAACTTTGCCAGGTGGCGAAACACGGAGCTGATGCCCTAATTCTGGATGATACTTTCTCATCAATTGTTGCTGGAGTCAAATGGGGATGTTCAGCTTACATATATAATATTCAGAAATTTGCTGAGTTTCAGTTGAAAAACGTGCTCCCTCTGATTGTTTACTTTTCTTCAGCTTGTTTGACAGGTGAGAAAATATACAACTGTCTACTTTTAGTTGAACATAAATTTCTAAATTTGTTTGCCAATGAAAATAATTTTAGCATTCTGCTTATTCTTTTACCACTAAACCATGCTTCAGGGAATGCGCAACTTACAGCTGTTCTGCTATTGATACTGGGAGCACTTGCTAAAAAACCTATGTCCAAACGAATTCTGTCATTCTTCATCTTGATGGGTCTAGTGTTCTTTCTAGAAATCCAGGTCGTGGAAGGAAGGGGTTTGAAGGCTGTTTCAGATGTTAAAGCGTCTCCATCACTGACCTCATTCAAGGAGATGTTCTCTGCCGAAAAGAAAGTAGACCCGGTGCTCTATACTCCACCGTCGGCGGCTCGTCCACCTCACCACTAGTATTTCTAACCCTGCTAGGCTAAGTGGTTGGCGTGTTTTGGGCATCTTGGATCCTGGGTATCAATGTGTGGAGTTTTTAAACAAAGAATTGCATACTGGTTTAAGAATTGCATACTATGTTGTTTTCTTAAATTATGACAATGTATAATTGCACGTGATCTTATTCAAAATTTTAGAAACGTTATGTTTTTTTGTTTTTAACATATTAAAATTATTTGCATATATTAATTAGAGAGAAGAGAAAAAGATTTCGTGAGATTCAAATACGTCATTTATAGGAAGTAAATAACTTTAAATCTACAGGAGGTAAATAACATTAACACATGGTTTATATTATTGAGTCGAAGTGGGTTATTCTTTAAAAAGCATTATGTTGGTGTGAAAAGCTAGATGAGTTTTTATTTAGTAAACTTTATCAATCGTTTAAGTTATGTATTAAAATTAAATAATACGAAATACTCATTATTACTTATAATAAATTACACCCACCACTATGAAACTTAAAAATCTCATTGGCACCTACTCGGACACCTTATTTGGACCCTGGGAGGCTTTCCGGTATATATTTATTTATTGATTTTTTTTAACAAGTACAAATTTCAAGGGAGCGGAAATTTGAATTATGAAAGTGTGGTGAAAGTGTACCATGTACCTTCAAAGGTTACTATTAGTGGTCAGCACACAAGGCCATGTGCTCCCTTTTGATGTTTATTTAGGGAGTAAACCCTAACTAAAGCAAATACAATCGATAGGGAAGTTACGCTCAAGTCCAACTACCCCTTTCTTATTTCCTCTCCATTTTGACCAATCCGATATGGTGAATTACAGAAAACCAAACATTTTATTTTTTGCTTAAGGAACTAATATGAGTCGAAATGTATCTGGGCAAGGCTTAGGAAACAAAATGAGCAAATTAGACAACAACAAATTCAGAATAATTAAATCATAACAATAAACTCAAATCTTAGTTTAATTGCTCATCAATTCTCTATAATGCCAAAAAAGAAAATCCTTAATGACAATCATTTAACAGAATAAAAAAAAAGGCAATCCACAACAATCATAGAAGCTTTTGCAAATCAAAGGACGGGATACAAAGTACATTCAACTTGTATTCAATGAAATAGCAGAAAGCTAAGCTCGTAAGAAAATCATCCAAAGAATATCCCAAAATTCCATTTTCAACCCATTTTTCAAAGGATCACATGAATAACGATGAATTGAGGCTATATTTACCATAAAGAGATCAAGTTAGGAGCGTGAGCGTTTGTTCTCTACTTCCTCTTAATTTCTTCTTTCTTTGCTCTTAACCAAGGGATTATCTTCCAATATTTCTCTTCTGCTTTCCCTTGGGATATCCTATTGAAGTGGCCAAGGCAGAAAGAGGACTTCCATGATTTCTCTAAGTTTCAGTGTTCCAAGAGGGGAATGGATGTCTTCAGCGGTGAAAAATTCTGAAAGATTTAGGTCTCCTTAGTTTGTTTGGGGCTGAAGATAAGAAAGATTCTTGGTTTGCTAGGGACAAAGCAGAAAGAAGAGAAGGGGTCTGCGGTTTTCAGAATGGCCTCCTTCCCTCCTGTCCTTTCAACTCCTCTCCTTTGTTTCTTCTCCATCTCCTCCTTTCTCAAGATTTTAGGATTACGTTTCAAGATTTTAGGGTCGGGAGATGATGCATGAGGGCATTGATGGCGCCGGAGCCGTTACTAAAGGATATGAGCAGGGAGGGAGGAAGAAATTTGAAGGGATTTTAAAATTTGTTTTTTTTTTAACAGCAAAGTATAATATATATTAATTAACGGAGTACAAGGGATACCCCAAACCCATAAACATAAAGACTTGACAAGTTTCATAATACATGAGTTGATTAGTCCTTTCATTTGGTGTTGACCCCTGAAAAAAGTGTCAACACCACGTCCGTGTCGGAGTTTTGAAAGCTTCCCATATGGTGTCGACCCCTGAATTATGTGTCGACACCACGTCCGTGTCGGAGTTTTGCTGCCTACATATGGTGTCGACACCTAAATTATGTGTCGACACCCTACACGTGCCGAACTTCTAGCCTCTTTTCCAATTTCTTCTTCTGCTCAATGCATCCTTCATGAACCCACTGTACTTTTCAAACACTGACCAGGATTAATTAGCCAATCCGTCAAATTGAAGGCATACCTGTCCTTTTTTGCTTTAATCCATAGAAAGGATCTCATTTGAATGAGTTCGAAAAGTTTCCCTGGATTTATCTCTTTGTCCTCTTTGTTGTGGAAGATCTTCTGATTTCTAGCAATCCATACGGACCACACAACAGTTTTCCACATACAATCCATGCCTTCTCTGATGTTTGATCCTTTAGTGCCCTTCCCAATGAGTTGGAAAGTATTCCAGCAATCCCTGTTCACTGTGATGTTGGTCCCCCACCATTTTGAGCAAGCCATCCACACCCATCTTGCAATTTTGCAGTTCAAGAACAAGTGAGTAGAATCCTCTTCTTCTTCATTACAAAGGGCACACTTAGCTTCTGTCGCATCTTTAATGACCCCTCTTCTTAGCAAATTAGCCTTGGTTGGTATTCTATCCAGTAGTAATTGCCAATTGAAAGCTGAAATTTTGCTAGGGAGACTGGGGTTCCATATTCTTTTGAAAGTCTTTGCTTCATTCACTTCCCCTTGCTCCAATGATAGAAGAGAATAAGCAGTTTTGGTTGAATATTGGCCTCTCTTGTCGTGAGTCCACTCCCATTTGTCGGGGTCACCTTCTGATATCTTCTCATCTTCTATCATCTTTTGAAGTTCCATAGCTTCAGCAGCTTCCCACTCATACAAATTCCTTCTCCATTTTAAGTTCCATTTCCATGAGCCATTGCTAGCATTGCCCATCTGGTAGCACTTGTTCTCTTTACCTGTTGATAACAAATATAATCTTGGAAACCTATTAGCAAGACACCCTTCCCCACACCAATGATCCCACCAGAAGCTAAGCCTTTTTCCTTCCCCCATCCTTACTCTAAAACCCTCTGTCAACCACCCTCCTCTCTCCCCCTCCAAATAATCAAGACGGCACACATCCCTCCACCAAATTGAGCCAACTCCTCTATTCCCTTTAACCCAATCTAGCCAATGGTTTTCTCCCTCACCATATCTTTCCTTAACTACATTCTTCCATAAACCCTCTTTGTTTTCTGCCAACCGACCCCACCATTTTCCCATCAAAGCCAAATTAAACTTCCTCAAGTCCTTCACTCCCAGCCCTCCTTCCTCTTTTTTTTTACATATCTTCTCCCATTTAACCCAATTAATCTTTCTCTCATCTCCCCCCCCACCCCATAAAAAACTTTTGCGAATTTTATCAATTGAAAGAAGAATGCCTTTCGGGATTAAGTAGACGGACATCAAGAACACGGGAAGACTAGACAACACTGAATTGATTAGCGTGATGCGACCTCCGAAAGACAAATGTCTACCCTTCCAGCTAGCAAGCTTCTTTTTGAAGGATTGAACCATTGGATGCCACATTGCTGTTCTTCTATGATTCCCTCCAATTGGAATTCCCAGATATTTAAATGGGAAAACTCCTTGTGAACAACATAGCCTATAAGCCATCTTTGTTGTCCAGCTTTCTTCAACTCCCACCCCCATTAGCTGACTTTTTGCAAAGTTAATCTTTAGCCCTGAAGCCAACTCGAAGGTTCTCATAATCCCTTTGACCACCCTTATGTTTTCCTCAGATGCCTCCCCA